TTGGAAATTATGTTTAGCTTGGACATATCCGTGTTCACTTTGTCGAAGACGTAGACCAACCATGAATGTCTTGGAAATTATTGTGAAAATAAATAAATATATTACAATTCATAAAAATAAAAAATTTAGTCTATTGGCAAAATTAGTCACCATATTCCTCGAATCTTCTACAAAAGTTGCGTTTTATATTATAATATATGTGTGGGATAATGGGTTAATTTCGTCAAATATCATTGAAGTTCCGACTAATTACATCAGTGGTCACAAAATTAATTTTTTTTCATGGCAATAGTCACTCTAGTTTANTCATGGCAATAGTCACTCTAGTTTACAATGTTTACACTAATGTCACTCTTTTAAAAATATTAACGTTAAATTCTACGTGGCACTAAGTCCCAACGGTATCATGAGATGATGTTATTTACTATATCGAGTCAACGCAAATTGAGTAGTTAAGAAATGCTGATTAAAGACGTTCCAACGAGTAAATGCAATACAGCTATAATTTTAGTAAGATGATTGTGCTTATTCCAATTCTTAACTAATTCATCTTCTATTCAGTTCTGAATTGATTTCCCAGACGAACAGTCTGCAATTTTGGGGAAGTCTACCGAATGACTGAAAATTCATCTCCAACAATGACTGAAAATTCTCAGTTAGATTCTCGATCAAAGGACAAAGCAGTCCACCCAATTGAACCTTTATGAAGGTCCCAGATGTAGTAGTTATCAAAAGCTGCAAAAGAGATTATGAAATAATGATCAAGACGAAATTGAATCTGCTGTACTGCAAAAAACTAAAACTGAGAACTATAGAAAACGGAAATTGAAGATAGAACCTGCTGGAATGGCAGGCTTCTCAGATCTTCACAAAATGGTTGATTTTATCTTCTGAATCAAGTGATGAAGATTTTGAAGATATTCCCTCTCAAAAGAGAAGGAAGATAAACCGTGAAAAAGCAAACAAAGTGTTTCCTGACAAAACTCCATTAGCTCAAAAATGAAATGGATGCCAATGATGAAAACCCGACAGAGAGTGAGCATGGGTCTAAAAGAACTAACAAAAATGTAATTGATAGGGACAAAATCAATGCACCTGCTAATCAAACAGGTTCTGTGGGTGCAAACGTTAAAAGATCAGCACCACAAATCAGCACCATGAACGAGCTGTGAAAGAGAATTTGGCAAAGGAATTAGAGCTCACAATCCAGCAGGTTACCAAATGGTTTGAGAATACCCGTTGGAGTTTTAACCATAGACCACAAATGGAATTGAAGAAAACTGAAACTAATTCGAAACAAGGAACTTCCTTGATTGCATCTCTACTCTTCTCTCTACGATTCAAGATGTTCCATCTTGATGGGGGAGTGTTGGAATATTCCACTTGTTCACCAGCAAACCAGCCTCTCCAGTTCAACAGCTTCTCTCCAATTCAGCAAAATCAGCAGCTCACACGTTCCAGCTCTTCTTCCAGCTTCCAGATTCTAGTTTCATCTAGTTCCTTCTTTAGTTTGTTATATTGTTAGTTCGTTAGCTACTTTTTCTATAAATAGAATAGTTTGCATTGTAATTTTTTTAAGCTAATTGAATAAATATTCATCATCTTCCCTACCCTATTCCGCGGGTCTATCCCTTTATTTTCTTCTTGCATTATATCAGATTTCCAATTTCGTTTTTGTCCTTGATTTTATCAAGATTTAACAATAATATATTTAATCAGGGAGTAGTGCTATTTAGCACCACTAGTTTTTAACACCAATTTAGGTTAGGGATGGCAAAAAAGCTCGTCGGCTCGGGCTCGGTCTGGAAAAAGCCTGATCGGGCCAGTTCGTGGCTCGGGCCGAGCCCCATTTTGGGGCATCGGCTCGAGCCCAGGCCCGCCCGTGTGGCTCGACCAGCCAAAGTTTTAGAGAAAAAAAAGTCAAAAAAAATAAAATAATTTAGTTGCATGCGCTCGACTCGAGTCCGACTCAGCTCGTAAAGGCCCAAGCCAAAAGTTCAGGTCGAGCCTAAAATTTTGGCCAAGCTTTTGCTTGCTCGTCTCGAGTCCAAAAAAGTTCGAACCTATCTTACTCGAGTCGAGCTCGAGCTTTGATTTTCGGCTCGACTCGTTAACATGACTAATTTAGGTAGAAACACTAATGACGTTATAGACGAGTTTAATTAAATGACTTTAATAATTTCACATTATTGAATCTATCATATAATGCTATATAAATTAATACTCCGACACTGTTGGAGTTGGATAACATTATTTTTAACCAAGTGATTATTATTGTATTAATTTATAAAATTTGAGTGAACATTAACGTAAAACAATAACTTCAATGATCATTAAGTTAATTAGTCAAAATTTTAGTGATCGATGTAATTAACTCGTGGAATTGTATATAAATTACACGTGCAGCTCACCGTTGGATAAAAATAGAGGAGAATTTAAAAATTTTGTGGAAACTGAGGCGTAATCTTCTAGAGAGACTTGACACGGAAGTCATTAGGAAATTTACATAACAATATATTAAAATAAAAAATATCGATTTAAACACGCTGTTTACGCGTTAGTTCGCATATAAAAGCCAAACAAAACAAGTTTCTTCCCAACAAATGCTTGAGCATAGACACTCTTTCTTTACGAACCTTTTGTTTGAATTTGGTTGAAGAAATAGCATTCATAGTCATGAGCAAATCAGGTACTATATTTGAACTTTTCATCTATTTATATTGTTCGGTCTAATCGAGTCCTTGGTATCATACCAACCGTGTGCTTAGTTAATTATTTACATTTTCAGGAGACGATATGTCGATCACTAGATCACGAAACCATGATTGCTATGAGCACTATGAGTTGAAAAAGTATAAAAAGTTCTTCAACTGCGACGGCTGCAAGATGAAAGGGTTCGGAGAAAGGTACACGTGCAATCCTTGTGGTCGCGAACTACACAAAGAGTGTAGGCACCCCCAACCTGAAGTTTCCCACGAGAATTTTGCTGGTTCCGTCTTCATATTTCGCAATGAACCATTCACTAAACCGAATAAAAAGAATGGCAAAGACTTTTCGAAGTGCTGCGATGCATGTGGAAAGGACATTTGCGGTTTTAACTACCACTGTGAAGCAGACAACAAGGATTTACACCCATGTTGTCGAAAACTTGAAAAGAAACTAGTGATTGATGGTACGATATTTAATCTTGAGACAAAGGTTTCATCAAAATGCGGTAAGTGCGGAAAACGGAAGATTTCTCGAGATTTGAAAAATGTTTTGGGATGGTCTTATGTTTCTCCGTGCAAAAAGTACCATTTTCATGTGTATTGTATAACTGAAATGGTACAAGAGGTGTACATGAAGTATGGGGATTTGGCATTAGAGAATATGGATTTAAAACAATTAGTTAGAAATAATAGATACAGAAGGGGTGGAAATACCTTCATTACGACAATCAAATCGTTTGTCACGATTCTATTGTCTGCTCTTCTGGGCGATCCAACGATGTTGATTCCCAATGTCGTGGTGGAATTGT